TGGGGAGGAAGGGGGTGAAGGGGAGACGCAGCGTCGGGCTGCATTGAGGGAGTGGTTCTCTGAGTACTGTACTAGTTGCGCTGCTGAGGAGAGGACGGCTTTGCAGCGGATGGGGGCGACTTTTTGAGGTTGGTTGTGGGAGGGAGGGGGGTGATGGGTAGGATAGACGGATGGGTGGCTGGGTGTTTGGTGCTGCTGCGGATATAACAAGTTGTAATCATAATTCGCGGCGGGATAGCATTAGTGGGAGACCTGTCTTTGCTAGAGAGCAAGGGCTGGACTGACTGCATAGCGAAGTATATCAAGATTGTTTTCTGATGCTTACTTACGTCTCATGGGTTTGTGGTTGGGTGTGTGTATTTCTTCTCAACATCTGGCGGCATCCATAGGTAGGTTGGAACTTTACCCGTTCTATGCTATACAGTTCGAGTTGCATAACGTCTGAGAAATAGGCCTGGGATTGCGTGATAGCACATGCTAACCTTTAATGTTTGTTTGCCTACTGCATCTGCCGATCTCTTAGGTTCTGCCAGGTTCTATGCCCTAGTGCCCTGTGATGATAGCAAGTGAAGGGCCGGGCACGGGCTGTAAGGACACATACCTGAAACCAGTTACCGGATATATCAAGGCTGCTATGATTTTGTCAAATAGCTAAATCCCCGGGTAGCGTGGTAAGACTCTCATGTGTCGTAGTCGTGATGAGATACAACACCGGGTCGGCGCAGGATGCCGGCCAGACCGGTCTACGCCCGGACGTCAGGGCATATATCAACACGCCGACGCTCAGGCACGCCACATGTTGCCTAATTCACGTGGTATTGCCTTCGGGTTGTTATGGTTCACGGTGTGCCTTGACCAACGGTCACGGGGTCCGTCAAGGCCCAACCTAAAGCGAGCAACTCGTTACCTGAGCAGAGCAGAAACTTTCACCCCCAACATCCATAAGACCCGAATTCCCAGACTGCCAGACCACACCATGATCTGGGCAGAGCTTCAAGCGCCGCTGGAGGATCTCGGGTGGATGTATGGGATGGTGTGGATGGTGGGAATTTTGATGTTGTTTTGGGTGGAATGGAGGGTGATCTTTCGGGGGTTGTTCTGGAGGGATCGCGTCCCGAGGATTCGTGTCCCGAGGCACGGGTGGGAGTTTGGGTAGTTTAGTGATTTTATAGAAAAATAATGTTTAATGTTCACACATTTCAAGGTATCTCAGCGAGGCGGCCAACAGTTCCCGAGTACCTCGTGGCAGTTTGGAGTTGCAAGCTGCGCACTGTCATCCGCCATGGGGACTCGTTGATTCCCACGACGTCTCGGAGACGTCGGCAACGTCCTCCATCTACTGATTCTAGCCCTCGCCGCTCTTCCACCTGCTAACACCATCACTCGTCACCACGATTCCTACTTATCGACCGCATGTGTAATGTCAACCTTCTTCCACTCTTCACTTTCAGCAGTGCCTTTGCTTCACATCTGGCATCACTCGTCACGTGTGGGGTCATCGAGTAGGCCATGTGATTGTCATTAGTGTCGTCGATGTGATCATCGACTAGTTCATACTCTGAGGTCGACTCCTCCTCGTGCTCTTCGAACATACTGTACCCCACTGCTTGTAAGTCCTCCATGATTCTTTCCGCGTCTGAGTTATCGATGTCGATTTCCTCCGTCAGGTAAGTCTGTCCGTTCCTTGCGGCTTTCGCCAGCGTTGAAATCGTCTCCCGTCCCGCATGTACCGGCGAAAGGCCTGTCCGCCGCGGAAGGACCTGTAGTTGTCGTTTCGGTTGTAGTTGTCGTTGCGGTTGTTTCTTGGGCCTCGGTAGGAACCCTGACGATTGTCGAATGGCTCACGCTGGTTAAAATATCCGTATTACTACTGTTGCTGTTGATAAGGGTAATCATTCTTAGTGGTGGGCTGGTGTCACCGGCAGTGACTGCCCGTTGTCGGTCAGGGATACGCCTGTCGAAGATCTGGGTAACACTTGGCAACATGCACCGGACTGCATACAAGAAACACGACGCGAGGGCGATGAAACTGTGGGAGACGAAATCCAAGGGTATGTTCCATCACTATAGGACATACGGTGTCTTAGCTGTTTGGCAAGATCAGCTCACCCGTTCCTAGTTAAGATTGGGAAGGGTGTCGAATCTACCAACTTGATCCGAGAAGCCCAATAATTTATTATCTGTCTGTTGCTAGATAAAAACTACGTCTGAATAGGACCCGAACAAGAGATGTAGCAACAGATAAATTACGAGAAATCCTCCAGCGAGAGGTAGGAAGGCCCCGTACTCAAAAAGCATTGCAGAGTGATCTTGTCTAGTACGGTGCTGCGCTCCGAGAGGAGAACAGCCCGCATCCTGGCTCAAGGACAGCCCCGGGGGCGGGATGGCTGAACGAATCAGGCAAAAGACGAGGGAAGGAAAAGAAGTAGAAGGCCATAATAACACGGCCAAAACCAACGACAGTAGGTAGATGCGAGGTGTCGGCCTGAAAAGTGTCCCGAGAATAGAAATACCACGGTGGCAAAACGAGCTACTCGTTCATGTTACCTAGAGATCCTAGAAACCAGCAGATACACGTCTGGTTAGGGATCTTGTACGAGTTAAATTGCAACGCCACACCTGTATGCCGTGGATGTGAGATGGTTGTCGTGCTCGAACCCTCAATTTGAGGGATGTTGAATTTGGGAGAAAGGCTTTGTTTGGTGCAAATTTCAACAAGCAGCTCAAGCCTTGGTCAGCTGCCAGCAGCTGGCTACCGACCAGTTCACCGTGACCCAGCTCCGACAGGGTTAGGGTTATTGCGAATACCAACAACCACCCATGAGAAAACACACCCATATCACACATGCCACGATGAAATAACCAACAAGTCCGTACAAGAAAGTCAAATCAGATCTATTATCTACCGTAGCCAATCGCTTCCGTAGGGTCCATTTCCCGTTTCCTTCTCCAAGCTCAATAATCCCAGTCAGCCAGTGTGTCTCTAAAAGGCTTTACTTGGGGAGCTGCTCAGTGGGCTAGTGTCTACGTTTTCTTTTTTTTTTGCGGGAAACCCGGCCCGAGTGGATGGGTCATGCTGCCTGATTCTCCTTCTCCCAAATCTGAAATATCAAACGCTAGTGGTGGAGCAAGTATGTCGAGTACGCTCTCGTCGTCGCAAATGCAAGTAGCGACTTAGAGGTAGATCATGTCGTCACGCCCCGCTATAGTATGTCAGTAACGTGGAACCCAAGCTCCCTCTCCCGGACCAAGAATTCGGGGATATTGGTGGAATAGAGGTGCTTACGGCCTGTCCCGATCCACTTCACTGGAACGCCAGTGAACTCCTCGACGAACCTAACGTACATCTGCGCTTGCCGCGGGAGATCCTCCTAGAAGATATTAGCAACATGCATTTCTTGAGATGCGAGATGGGCGTACGAATTTCTTCACCGCTGTCGTCGGTGTTTGCCAGCCCTCAAACTCCCTGTACACGACTTCACACCTCTCAAGATACCCGAGGTCAGCCGGGAAGTACTCGAGCTCCTTTCCTGTCTCGGGGTCTTTATAGGCGACCGCCACCTTGAGGGTGGGGAAGGTATCGAGGACGTCGAGCTCTGTCAACATGTTAGCGCTTTGGCAACAATCCTCGGTTCATAGTGGGCCATACTCGTCAGGTTCCAGGCCGTGTAGTAGTTGACCGAGGCCGAGTACTTCAGCACGACGAGGTCAAGCCACCCACATCTCCGTTTCCTGCCAGTGGAGACGCCCCATTCGCGGCCAATATCCTGCAGTTTCTTGCCGGCCTCGCCCACATCTTCCGACTTGAAGATGCCCTCTCCAACTCTCGTCTGCAAATTGTCAGCGGCAGCTAAATCAACAGTTCAGCGGTGGAACATACTGTGTACGCCTTGGCAACGCTGTTCCAGGGGTTAGTAGCTAACGAGTGACGCGATGACCAGAGAAACTCACCCGATGATTTCCCTAGAAAGGAATTGTTAGCGAGGGCGCACCTAAGGGGGGGATGCCTGTGATGACAGGCAACGAGCAACTTACTTGATTCTCCTCGGGTTGACAGCCAGGCCGGTGATGACACCGCCTAGCCCAGTATTGCTGCTGGTGACGAACGGGTATGTGCCTAAACCACGTATTAGCGCTCGCCCTCGCTGTTGATCCACAGCAGGGTGCTCCTACCGTAGTCGATGTCCAGCATCAGCGCATTAGCGCCCTCGATCAGGATGTCGACACCGCTAGCCTGCGCCGCCTGCATGTAGTTGACGGCGTCGACGACAAAGTCCGGCAGCTTCTCGCGGTAGTCACGGAAGCGCGCAATCTCCTCCTCGACGTCGTACTCCAACAAATCACCAAACCGCTTCTTGTAGCCCTCCGCTAGCCTGCGCAGTTTCGCCTCGAAGCTTTCCTGGTCGAAGATCTCGTGCACCCGTATCCCGTTGCGAGCCGCCTTGTTCGCGTACGAGGGGCCGATGCCGCGGCCTGTGGTGCCAATCTTGTTGCCGGCCAGTTCCCTCTCCTCCAAGCCATCGACGCGGGCGTGCAATTCGAGGTTGACCTGGGCGCGGTCACTGACGAGCAAGTTCTTGCGCGCGTGCGACAATCCCTTCTCTTCGAGGGCAGCGAGTTCCTTGAAGAAGGCCTGGACGTTGAAGACGACGCCAGAGCCGATCAGGTTGGTACATTGCGGGTTGACGAGGCCCGAGGGCAGGAGATGGAAGCTGATGAGATGCGAGGTCAGAATCGATTCAGGGGCAGCAGGAAACAGATGGTTTCGTACTCGTAGGACACACCATTGGCACTGCAGACATAGTCAATTAGCCTCGTACAACATCAGGGTCCCACATTGGAAGCATACACGACAGAGTGGCCCGCATTGTGGCCGCCAGCAGCGCGGGCGCAAACGCGCGCCTTCTGGCAGAGAATGTCGCTGAGCTTTCCCTTACCCTCATCCCCTGATCGCGAATCTCTGCGTTAGCGCAAACAGTCGCAAGATTTGTCCACTCGAGCACCACCTACCCCATTGGGAACCTAGAATGATAGTCGCCATGTTCAAAAACAGCCAAAAATGGCAAGGAATCAGTCCCGATTTCGCGATCCGCTCATCAAACGGGGAAAATTTTGTTGCGAAGTTTAAGCCCTCTTTTTTCCAGGTGATACGCGGGGTTGGTGGGTCCCTGAGTCACCAGCGGTGTCGCTGTCGCGGTCGGTATCGCCAAACGCGGGGCAATTGCGACTGAACATGGAACGCGGGGCAACGGCTGGGCCTTCTGTAAATCCCTCTAATCTCGGCTCCGAGACCGGGTAAGGAACCACTGATATCACTTCCGGCGCACGAGACCCAATTAAGGTAAGCAGTTACTGACCGCCGTTTGTCCGCAAGGCTGCTATGTGCCATGCCTACCGACGGAAATGGTAATTTGCTCATTCCTTTCACGAAGCGGCTTGTCTAGGGGACAGAAACTTGACGTGCCTGAATACCGAACCACGCCCCGAGTGCCACCGAAACGTGGGGGATGGTTACGCCCGAGTGCGGCTCTTGGCGGCGGTTTGCTAGCGCGCACGTCATCCGATCTGGCCGAGATCCGGCTCATTAACCATCGTGAGCTTCATTGGCCTACGACGGAGTTGTGGTAAGGCCTGCAGCTTCTTTACTCGTGGGGTGCCGGCCACGTGCATTTCGGGCCTCGGCGGATACCGTCGCTATCAATCAATGCATCTAATAGCGATCGGGACATACAAGTAAATTCAAATGACCTGAGTGGCGAGTTTACAAAAATTAAATATGAGTGGGACTTCCAGATGATTGGATGCGGGCCTTGTTGTTCTGGGTGAGATGTCTGAATAGAAGAAGCCGGGATATCATATGGCGTTTTTAAGAGAAGAGGAAAACAAACTCTAGCTCAACCCCGGGAACAGCAGGCAAAAGATTTCAATCTAACCAACCTGGAAGGCGCCTTGGATTTACAAGAGAGGCAACTTGAAAAGTCAGCTAAAGGGTCAAAAGGTGCACATTACCTGGTTGTTAGCTTTCAGCACCGCATTTTTTGTTCAGATTAGAGATGGGGGTGAGCTTGTCTGAGCAAAATGCCCGCATCGCAAGTTAGGACGTTTTGCGAAAAGAAAAAAAAAAAAAAAAAAAAAGCTGTTTCGCACGATAGCTCAAACTATGTCATTTTCAGGATGCTGGAAGAAAAGAAAGTATCCATACCCAATCTGGAATCATGTGTTACCTTAAACATTGGACAAGATGCTTTGCTGTGTAACGAGAATGGGCTTGCTCGCTGGTTATCACACCGACACTATTAACTAGACGGCAGTGTGACCATTGCCAAGATTTTCATAGATCGTCCACATTTTTAGCGATGGTGCTCGTGTGACGTTTTTGAGATCATCAATCGTAGACTACTTCGTACTTTGAGTCGTAACCGCTTGGGCTCACCTCCATCGGACTGGACGGGCATCGGAAGGGACATGAGCTCGAATGCCCTCTAGAAGGTGCGGGGTTAAAACAGTTCACAACCAAGCAGCATATTTATACTGATTTTATCTTTCACTGCTGAGCGATAATGTGCCAGTTTCGATTATCGCCACCATGTTAATTCGTAAATCCAAACTTTCACGTTGACTCCTAGGAGTCGCCTGAGGTTGAGGAGCTCAATAAAGGTGGCCTGGAGGTCGTGTAAGTGAAAGAGCATTGACCACCACCTGCCTTTTCCGACTCCCACCCGGGGCTTAAGCCAATCAAAGTCCGCCGCTTTACCACCGGGTTTGGCTTCCATACCGTGGTAGACCACGGGCCGACATTACGGGCCGGTGGTGGGTGAGAAACGACCGGCTGGCCGTTTGTTTGCCATTAGGCCGAAACCGAGTCCACATAGTCACATGCAAAAATATTAGGCACAAAGTGTTGAGGGCCAGGAATTCACTGGATGAGGAAGGTGCGAGGTTGCGCTGTCCGTCGTCGTGCTTCGCTTGTGCACCCATCGGCCAGATGGCTCGATTTGCGGTGCATCCACGTTTCACGGAGTCAGATGCTCGCAAACAGACCCAAGGCTGGACTATCTTCCAGAACATATGCCAAGACATGAAGTCCCGGGGAAGCGGAAACCTGCCGTGCCATCATGCAGCCGCTTTGCGCTCTTGAGGCTGTTGGGGAGGAGTGGAGACATTTTACTTTTTGTTGAATCCAATTGTCCAATAGCAGTGGCTCTTGCACCCTTGAACGACATCGCCCTGCCTCGGTAGATCTGCTCTGAATGGAGAACCCGACCGGGGACAACATGAATCGCGTGTGTTTTTTTATTTCTTCCTTGGGTCATGGAGCATGTGACAGTCGCAAAGGTGCTGAAACCTCCGGTTTGCACCCCAACGAGGTCGTCGTTGGTCAAATTCCCGTCGAATATTGACCGGAGCTTGATGGTCCCGTCGAACCCCGTTGCGGGACGGCCCAGCTTGCTCCACTTCCCTCGGTCTACAAGCCTTGGAGGAGATCACACATTCCGGCTCTTCGCCTTTGCCAATCGATTCGCCTTGTTGGGGAAGAAACAACGTGCCAACATCACTGCGCCCGCAGACTGATGCGACAAGGTGGAACCGGGCCAATGAGGAAGTGTTCTTCTGAATGCCAGGTCCGCAGTCTTGGAGCCCTCGATGTTGATGCAGGTTCAGGCTCGGGCTCGCATACAGGATGAACAACACCCTCAGACCCCTGATGCGGTGTTCTTCACGGTCCTATCTATGGATGTTGCACACCGTATTACTGCAAGGCCGACCATGTGCGTGTTCTATTCGTGATCTGATTGATGAAATGTGGCCAGCATGACTAGGAGAAGTTCTCGAGGGAGGAACGTTCCAAGGGAAGGCGAGAGAGGGAGAGGTCCATGCCAACAATTTGATGAATTGCTGCCGTATTTTTTCTCCCTCTTGCCGAAGCGGCCCAACCCCCCTACCCATCTCTCCTCGCCTTCTTCCCCTCTTCCCCATCCTCGTTATCACATGCCATCTTCTTTTTGCCTTTGACCCCCCAGAGGCGAGTCCACATTCATACCCCGGTGTGTGACGTGCAGATTTGGCGGGAAAAGCGTTGAGGACTTTTTTTTGTTACTCTCAAAACGAACTGTCCTGCCACCACACACTTTCCTCTCTAAAATCTCTTCGGCAATCTCGCAAGAGTCGCAATCGATCGAGTTGATCAACCCAGGAACCGCGAAAATGGCCTTCGAATCCGTCTCCATCTCGCTGCCGCAGGCTTCCCTCTTCCAGTTCCCTCCCAATCCCAACTCGGGTTTTGTACCCCCGCCACCTTCCGGCAGCACATCCTTCGCCCCGCCAATTGATATCCCAGACCACATCTACAACGCCGTCCTTGACCCCAAGGTTCCCATCACCATCGCCGCCGTCTATGCGATAACCGCCAAGGCCCTCAACGCCTACAACAAGTCCACCAACAAGAAGCCTTGGGCTATCAGCAAGACTCGCGCCTTCCGCTGGTTCGTCATTGCTCACAATGTCTTCCTCGCTGTTTACTCGGCCTGGACATGGTGGGGGATGCTGGGTACCATGAAGCGCAGTGTGGTCAGCCCGCTCGGGCCCGAAGGGGTCTCTGGCTTCGTCGACTCCTTGTGCCGGGTCAACGGACCCGCTGGCCTGGGCAATGCCGCCTTCTTCAACGATGACACCAACACCTGGCAGACCTTCTCGCCGGAGCCTGTGCTGGACGACCAAGGTGTCCCTAGCCGGTTTGCTGCTGGGCGCATGTGGAATGAGGGACTTGCCTTCTACGGCTGGCTCTTCTACCTCAGCAAGTTCTACGAGGTCGTCGACACACTCATCATCCTCGCCAAGGGCAAGTACAGCTCGACCCTGCAGACGTACCACCACGCCGGTGCAATGATGTGCATGTGGGCTGGCATGCACTACATGTCGGTGCCCATCTGGATCTTCGTCTTCTTCAACTCGTTCATCCACGCCCTCATGGTGAGTTTCTCCCCTTGTGAAATCTATCAGTTGTAGGATTGGGGGAACGTTGGGCTGACTGGGTACCACAGTACACATACTACACCGTGACTGCCTTCAACATCCGCGTGCCTGTATTCATCAAGCGCACCTTGACGTCGATGCAGATCACTCAGTTCCTGGTCGGTGCATCGTGCGCGATGGTGCACTCCTTCATTAACTACACCATCCCGGTCATCTCCGGCTCCCAAACCGATGCCCCTGCCTCTGCCGCCTCTGCCGCCGCCAACGGCTCCGTGGTTGCCGCCACCGGTGGCGTCTTCGACAGCGTCAAGGGCACGTACGCACGCCAATCTATGCCCTGCATCACCTCGAGCGGCGAGACCTTCGCCGTCTGGCTCAACGTCTTCTACCTCGCCCCGCTGACCTACCTCTTCGTCTCCTTCTTCATCGAGAGTTATCTCCGCCTCATGAACGCCAACCAGTCCCGCAGCCGGGGTGGTGTTGATACCAGCCTCGCCGCCCGCCGCTTGAGCAACAACGTCCAGCTTGCCGAGAAAGCTGGCTGGGAGGCTGCCAAGAATGTCGAGCGTGAGGTCTACGGTGAGAGCAAGGAGGAGGCGGTTGTGTCCGAGACCAAGAACGTCAGCGGACGGGTGCTACGGAGCAGGAAGTAAAGAAGCTGAGCCGAGCATGGCGACGACCAACAAACCAACCAACCCTTCCATTAGGAGTGGAAGGCTGTATTATTCAAACTCGCCCAACCGCCGCACGGCGAGTAATGGAAACAGCGTGGTGGGAAACAATCTCGGTATTTCACCACGGTGAGCACACGGGCATCGGAAAAAAAGCGAAATGTCGGCCTGATTCACGAGCCATGATACGAATCCCCGCAACGAGAGGATACACGGGCACATCGGTGGCTGCCCGAGGTAGAGAGATAGAATCACATCATGTTGGTGGGATCAAACAAGACATGGCATGGGTGCGGAGGGAGATCAAAAAGTCTATTAACGTCTGGTTCATGGTTACGAATGAGGCATGGAGGAGTACAGCGTCGGGCGCGGGTGGGAGGTGCATTGCGTTGCATTTGTTACATTATCTGTCTTGTTTATTTAAACGGTTATCGGGGAAAAGGGAAAAATGGAAGCCATGTTTGCATTACACACATCAAACGCTCTGGTGCCAAAACAACTCTTGTTCTGTGGTGTCTTATCATGTTACGTGGTATATCATATGAATGTCGGTGCCGAATGACGCAGTGAGAGACAAACTAGGGGCGAAAAACATATGTTGGTTGATATGACCGCGGAGGTACGAATAGGTAGGTCACTCAAGGCCACTCACTCCGGTGGCCCAGCATATAGGCGGATGAGGCTCCCAACGTCACAGTAACCTCACTCTCACCAGCTCGCAACAGAACTTGGACGCAATGATGGTTGTGCCTGTCATAGTTTATTTCCGCTGGTAGTACCTACACGCCCGATTACAATACATGCCGTGCTACCCTCACGCGTGTCCCAAACAAACCCAACCTCACCCCCAATTCCTTCCCATGGGCCAACCGGAAGAAGGCCGGACAGACCCGACTGTGTAAACACGATTCGTCATAGCTGCAAAGAAACAAAAGAAGCATGCCAAACGCCTCTGTCAAAAACAAACGCCGATGCTGCCCAGACACATACATGCAATGCCCCGAGCGACCCAATGAATCGATCCAATGAAAACAGCCTGGCTTCAACCACACAGGCTTGACAAGAATGATCTGCCCCAGGTTAGATAGACGACAACATAGTTGCAGAACCGGAAAATAGAAGTTAAAGAATAAAAGTTGAAAGAGATAAAACCGGAAGATGCGAAACATGACACTAACAAGTTTCTCTGAAAGCAAAAGCCATCTCTAAAAACTCTCTTCTGCTTCACAAGGGTATTGCCTTCCAAACCACCCCTTCCCC